GGGAAGTCCACTCTGCTGAATGCACTTTTTGGGCTGCAGTTCACGGTCAGTGCTGGGAGGTGTACCCGGGGGGCCTACATGCAGCTCCTGAAGGTCGAGGAGACTTTCACAGATGAACTGGGCTTTGACTTTGTGCTTGTTGTGGATACAGAAGGCCTTCGGGCCCTACAACTCAGCAACAAATCTAAAAATCGTGACAATGAGTTGGCAACCTTTGTCATTGGACTTGGAAACTTGACTCTAATCAATATTTTTGGGGAAAATCCATCAGAAATGCAAGATATTCTACAAATAGTAGTTCAAGCATTTATGAGGATGAAACAAGTAAAAATCTCCCCAAGTTGCCTTTTTGTCCATCAGAATGTGGGGGAAGTCACAGCTAAAGATCAAACTATGGAAGAAAGGAGGGCATTAGAGCAGAGACTAGATGACATGGCAGCAATAGCAGCTGAGCAAGAACAGTGCTCAGATGTAACCCGCTTTGGTGATATCATTAAATTTGATGTCAATACTGATGTCTTCTACTTTGCTCACCTCTGGGATGGCAATCCCCCAATGGCCCCTCCCAATCCTTGCTACAGCCACAATGTGCAGGACCTGAAAAGGAGAATTCTTATGGTTGCCAAACAGGAGTCTAGGGGAAGCATCATGAAGATCTCAGATGTGAAATTGCGAGTTCAAGATTTGTGGAGAGCCCTAGTGAATGAGAACTTTATTTTCAGTTTCAGGAACACCCGAGAAGTCATAGCCATGAGCAAATTGGAAACTATGTATAATTCCTGGACCTGGGAGCTGAGGAATCACATGCTAGACTTGCAGTACCAGCTCATCAACCAGATTAAGAATGGGAAAATCCAGGAACTCACAGCAAACACTCTTCGGGCTCCAGTTACAGAAAAATATAAAGCCATCAAGCAGGAACTTGAAAAATACTTTAAAGAAGATCCAGAGAGTGAGGTAATTATTCAGTGGAAAGCAAGTTTTGAAATTGAACTAGAAAACCTTAAAGAGGCACTTATTTTTGAGTGCAAAAATAAAGCTGAGGAACTCATCAGTTATAAAAAGAATCAAGAAATACTGGATAACAAAAAGTCAAGTTATGAAAAGAAATTATTGGAAAAAAGCCTAGAATTGGCTTTAACTCTAAAAGAGAAAGAATTGAGTGAGAATGAGCTTCATGGCAAATTCAATGAACTTTGGGAAACATGGGTCTATGATGTGTCCTCAAATATCTCTCCAGTCCTAGAGCCTAATATCGATTTGGATTCTGAAAACATCCTTTTGAACTATTTTAAAAAGGAGACAGACATGGCGAATATACTGGAGAAAAAGTCTAGAAAAAAGTTTGAAATAAATTATGAGAAACATGTCAAAATGAGCAAATATTTTAAGATAATAACAAGGTACTTAGAAGTACATGATAAAGAGTCCATAAAGAGGACTACTGACCACATTTTTTCAAGATACACTGAAACTATTAAAAACCTCCAGAAGCAACAATGTGATTACAATCCAAATTATTTCCATGAAATCCTGAACATAATAGAAGAGGAGGTGAAACCTGTATCCACTGAAGACAGATACACATTTACAACTAAGTACAAAATTGACTTATCTTTGTGTTTATTCCAAAGAGCATCTGAGATTTTTAAGGAGATGCATAGGGCATTCAAAAGAGCAAATGATCCTGTAAATTATTTGAAAAGCAAGAAAGATGATTTCCTCATGAGTTTTAAGATCTCTTGTCAAGGAGCAACCTCAATCAAAACATTTGTTGAATTTCTGTTGGAAAAACTCATTCCTGCTGTCTTCGACACGATTCAGGGGAAAATGGCCCCTAAAATCGCTGGGGACATGCGAGCTACCTGCCCAGCATTCAGTGGAAACAGAGCTAACCTGGAGAAACACGTTCTTATCTCTCTGGCAGAAAAAGAAAATTTTGATGATTACTGGGAGTACATTCATAATGCAAAATCATTTTTTAGGAATTACATTCAAAACCATATTAAAAGATATTGTTCAGAACAAAATAACAAAATAAAGACTTTTTTAGAAATAAGTATAGGTGACATCAAGAATGCCATCCTCTCAGCTATTCATGAATCCACAGCAATAGCCAAAGATAAAAGCAGCACTGCGTCTGGGTGGTTGGATTTGTTCTGTGATCACCTGGGGAGTAACTTGAACTTCCCACGAAAAGACTTGGTAAGCATTGAGCACCAGGAGATAAACAATATTGAGGTTCTCAAACAAGTTATGAGTGAAGCTTTGGATGACTTAATGTTCAGAGCAGAAAAGATATGTTTGAATATGCCTGTAGAAGACATGGTTCCTGAAATTGAGAAAATGCTCTCTGAACATCTCTGTGGCTGCTGGAAACAGTGTCCCTTCTGTGAAGCAATTTGTACAAACACAATCCCTAACCATGATGGAGACCACAGTGTTCCTTTCCACCGTCCTAAAGCTGTCAATGGAGGCCAATGGGTTGATACAGACCACTTTAACATTGACTTCTGTACTAATTTGGTATCAAGTAATTATTCTTTTGTTTTAAATGGTCGTGAAATCCCATTTAAGACCTATCGACAGGCAGGAGGGGAATATGCCAAATGGAGCATCACCCCTGACACATCCACCCAGACATACTGGAAATGGTTTGTCTGTCACTTCAGATCAAACCTAGAAGAAAAATATCAGAAAAAATTTTTAGGTAGAGGTGAAATCCCTCAGGCATGGACCAAGATCACAAAACAAAAAGTGCTTGATGACTTGGCGTAGCAATAGTACTCAATGCCCACAAAAGAGTACCAGAATCTAAACAACAGTCACAGTACCTGAACAATCCGAAAAACCTACTCCTCACAATGAGAAACTTTTTATTTCCATTTTTCAAATGAGATGGCTAAATATAAATCAATTAACATTTCAAAAATTTAAGACAGAGAAGCATCTAACAGACTGTCAAACTTCAGAGGGAAGACAGGGTAGGGCCGGGTTGGCGGGAGGGAGGGGAAGGGTGAAGGGGGCGGGGGTGTCAGATAAGAGATCAACCAAAGGACTTGTAAGAATGCATATAAGCGCCCTGACCGGTTTGGCTCAGTGAATAGAGCATTGGCCTGCAGACTGAAAGGTCAAAGTTTCGATTCTGGTCAAGGGCATGTACCTTGGTTGTTGGCACATCTCCAGTAGCAGGTGTGCAGGAGGCAGCTGATTGATGTTTCTCTCTCATCAATGTTTCTATCTCTCTATCCCTCGCCCTTCCTCTCTGTAAAATTTTCCATTTTTCAAATGAAATGGCTAAATATAAATCAATTAACATTTCAAAAGTTAAAGATTTCCTATTGAAAGGACTTCCTTTTTCTTTATCTCAATTCCTTCTGGTTGAAAAACAAATTGCTAAACTATATGAACATACAATAAAAATCTAACAATACCTATTTAAAATTCCTACTTCATATTTTAAGCTATTATTCTGAATTCTTTTTATTTTTAAATATATGTTTTTAAATATAATGTTTTATAAAGTCCAAGACAAAGTTGTTTTCATAGAGGGAAATCAAAAACTTTATGTATAGTTACAAATTTCTATAGATTAACTATATGAACATTTCAAATGCATATACAGTTCTTGGCTGGATGCTACAAATTACCTTTGAAATCTTGAGAAAAAAGTTACTAACCCTTGAATGGAAAAGTATTGATGGAAAGATGATTCCCAAGCATAGTGATATTTAGACATATTCTGTTCTGGGAAATAATAACACAGACTTGACAGAGACTGTATCAATTCAGGAAACATTATTCAAATATAAAAATAAAAATTTAATTATTGTTTTTTTTATGTGAGTATCACCCTCATCTTTTCTGGCATCCTGGAAGTTCCCCATGCTACGCTGAAATAAAAAAAAAATAAGGTCCATAACAGCTTAGATATTCAAAGCCTGGTATTTGTAAAAGCTTAAGAAGAATTGACTTTTGGAACAAGGTTTATGAGCAGGTGAGAAGGGCCACTTTCAGATTTCATTTTTCCATTAATAATTTTAAAAACTATTCCTTTAAGAATAAAATATCAAAGAGTATATAGTTTTTTAGATTCACATTATTTCAGTAAGATATTCTTTTATATATTAAAATGTAAGGAAATTCTTATCTCCAAAATAGGCACCTTTGTGACTCTTCACACTGTATGAGTCATATGATCATGATCAGAATACAAATGAAAAGCTCTCTGATGGTAACCAAGAATCTGAGAGGGGAAAGAAATGACCATTCTGCAAACCTACACCTTCTGCAACAATGACTTATGCTAGGTTCTCAAAGCTAATGACTTAAAGTAACCTTGATAACAAAGAAAATGTCTTCATGTTGAACATAATAGGATACATGTCTTCTCTTTACAGGCACACTCTCTATCCCTCCATAGCCAGTATAAACAATGAACAGAAGTAAAAAACCTTGCATCTTCAGAGCTGGGAGATAGAGCTGATTCTGCTTTGAATCCCCAAAGTGCTTCAAGCATACTCTCAGTTTGAGGTCAAATGACCCATGTCTGCAAAAGAAATCCTTGAAAAAAAAAATTATAAAAGAAACAGGTGTCCTAGAACAGTATAGTTTCCCTTTTGTTCTCTGGAAAATAGTCTCAGTAAGAGTTGGGAGGACCTCCTCATATGATCATATTCAAATGGTGACAGAAACAGAATCCCTTGCATAGCCTGGAGCATGGCTCTCACAAGACTGCACCCCTAAAAACTGCAATGTTCAATTAACATTTGCTGAATGCTTTTGTTATTTGTTTAATGAATCTAGAACGGCCTTTAAGAGGTATCATGTGCCATACATTAACTTTGATTTTCAATCTAAAATTGTTGTCTATAAATAAAAATCACCTTTGATAAATTCCTCAGACATTTAAGCAGTGTGATTATTAAATAAGATTTAGGCCAGAGCCTGTGCCTCTGAGGCAGAGTGGTCACCATATGTCTCCAACTCATTCCTGGGTTTCTAACCAAAACCTCTGGAAACCTCTGGTCACACACACACTTAAGGAGACTCCCAGCTTGCCTCTGTTGTGCGTGGAACCACCTGGTCTTCGTGTAGAAAAATGCCGGTGGTGCTGCCACCAAGGATTTCCCTGTAAGGATCAGCCACATACCTGACCCAGACCACTGTGATGGGGGCACAAGGTGGAGAGCAGGGCCTTTGTAAAAGCCCTGAAGCAAAAGTGAGCAGCCAGCTGGGCAGCAGCTGATGCCCCGGGACATGCCTGACCCCAGTCTGCAGCCCCTCTAACCTCTCCAGACACCCTTCAGGGTGCACAGCAGATTGTCAATGTCCTCAAGCTGAACCCTGAGGAGATACAAAAGAACTAGAAGCACCTATTCAAGGTGAACACTAAATCTGTGGGCAGCTCCTTCACCTGCAGTCAAAAATGGTCCCAGCAAAGGTGCACCTCCAGGAGGAGGTTACAGTCTAGGCCCAGGAGGGCAAAGAGAGAGAGAAGAGGCCCAAAGTGTGACCACTTGGCTCCCACCCCACTCTTCCTGCCACCTCCAATTTGTAGCTAAACGTCTTTTACACACACACACACACACACACACACACACACATACACACACGCACACGATTCAGTGCTGCTGTGCTGACAAGATTAAAAAAAAACTGGCACGAAATAAATGGAAACAGAGGAAAGAGTAGGTAAGAACTGGGCTTTTTGCCATCAAGGAGGGATCAAGATTAAGGAGATTACAATAGCATAGGGTTGGGGTCACTGAGGGAGAAGCCCTCAAAACCAGTGGAGTAGGAGGAATGGAGTCAGTAGGAAGGAGAATCACAGGATCACCATGAGTAGGAGGCACTGGGTCCAGGTGTACCTCACAGGATTAGAGGAGGTCAGACTTGCAGGTCAGTAGAGACAAGGTCAATGGATTGAGACTCTAATAAATCATTGAAAGTAGGGGACATGACAGGAATTGGGGTTACCACATCCATAGATTTTGGGGATTTCCAGAGTAAGTTAAGCAAAGTATCCCAAGTGCAGTGGGAAAGAAGGAGTCAGAAGGCTTTTAGGTAAGGGGCTAGAAGGGTGACAGAGTCTAACACAAAATCAAACTTCATGAATAAGATGTAACTTCTTAAATGAAGATGAAAACTTGCACTGCAGTGTTTTTATTTTAACCAAAAACACCTTTATTTTCATCTTCAAAGAACTGTTCTTTTTTTTCCATTATAAACATGATTAACTTACAAAAGTGGCCTATACTAGTAAATTTAAGCTTCATATTAATCCAGACATGGAAAGGTGTGTTATTGTTTTTTTTCTAGAGAGAGGAAGGGAGAGGGATAGGGGAATAGAACGTGGATGAGAGAGAACCATTATCAATCAGCTGCCTCCTGCATGTCCCCTACTGGGGATTCAGCCCACAACCCTGAAATATGCCTTGACCAGTAATCGAACAGGCAACCTTTGGCTCATGGGTCGATGCTTAATCACTGAGCCACCCTGGCTGGGCTTGAAAGGTTTAAAAAAATAAATTTATATTTTGTTGTCATTATAAGACAAAACAGAAACTAGCATAAATTACGGGACTCCATTCATATTCGGATTCTTCTCCACCAGGAATCCTCGTTGTTATATTATTTCCATTCAGCAAAATCTGGTCTAATTTAGTAATCCTTCTTCCTTCTGGTGTGATTTCATTAGAGCAGCAGCTGCATTGGGTAAGTGGTAGCCTTAGCCACCATGGCAACAGTGGACGTCATCTGCTTGTACTGAGAAGTTTTGAAGTAGATCTCTCTCTCTCTCTTTCCCAGAGGACAAAAATATGAGAAAATCCAGGGACTGGGTGTGTTATGGCTTAAATCTTTGTCCCCATGTCATTATAAGACAAAACAGAAACTAGCATAAATTACGGGACTCCATTCATATTCGGATTCTTCTCCACCAGGAATCCTCGTTGTTATATTATTTCCATTCAGCAAAATCTGGTCTAATTTAGTAATCCTTCTTCCTTCTGGTGTGATTTCATTAGAGCAGCAGCTGCATTGGGTAAGTGGTAGCCTTAGCCACCATGGCAACAGTGGACGTCATCTGCTTGTACTGAGAAGTTTTGAAGTAGATCTCTCTCTCTCTCTTTCCCAGAGGACAAAAATATGAGAAAATCCAGGGACTGGGTGTGTTATGGCTTAAATCTTTGTCCCCACATAATCAGGTTGAAATGAGTTCAGGAGTGCAGGGCTCTCATGATGGGATCAGTGGGATCAGTACCCTTATATGAAGACACACCAGAATATAATGAACAACATAAACAAAAACAGATCCAGAGACAGAGAAACATAGATCAGAGCATCAAACCTCAGAGGGAAGGTAGGGGAGGGTGGGGGTAAGGGGGAGAGATCAACCAAAGGACTTTTATGCATGCATATAAGCCTAACCAATGGACACAGACAACAGGAGTGTGAAAGCATGAGTGGGGGGGATAGGAGGGATAATGGGGGAATAAGAACACATATGTAACACCTTAATCAATAAAGAAATTTAAAAAGACACACCAGATCTCTCTCTCTCTCTTTCTTTCTCTCTCTCTTTTTCTCTCCCCCCACCCCACACAAACATGCATAAACCAAGGACAGAATGTGCAAGCACATAGCAAGAAGGTAGCTATCTGCAAGCCAGGAAGAAAGCCCTTACCAGGAACTGAATCAGCCAGCATCTTGATCTTAGATGCTCCAAAACTATGAGAAATAACTTTCTATTGTCTAAGACTCCCAGTCTATGGTATTATGTTATGGCAGCCTGAGCTGACTACAACACGGTGTGTTTAAAGATGACCCCTTTAAGTTTGGTATGCTCTTCCATTGAACTATGAGGAAAGCCATAATGAACATACCATAT